CATTGGTGAATGCAAACAAAATACATACTGTTGAATTACATTCACCTGGGCTCTAGGAGACTCAAACCGTGGACCCCATGCGTGTAAGGCCGAGGCTCTAGTTATATGACGAGGGTGTGGATCACTAATTCCTCCGAGTTCAGTAATAGTCAGGTAAAGTAAAAAATTCCAGTTTGGCAGCAGGATGCTGCTTCTGGAAACTTTCCTTATTAAGACTACTCAATAGCTCAGTCGCTAGAGCTTCGGCCTCACACGCGTGTGGTCCATGGTTCGAGTCTCCTAGAGCCCATGTGAATAGAATGTTTATTTCCACGGAAGTGTGGATGACAATATTTGCTGTTGAATTTATGCCATAAACATGAAAATTTTTTCCCCACATTTTCAGGATGACGGACCACATATATGAACACAAGTTATCCAACAAGTCTCGGCTCTAATGGGTTCTTAAAAGAATATGGCTGTCTGTACTAGTATTCATGCAAGACATGTAATATACTTTTAGGTTGCTATATTTAAGCTTGTGCCCCTCTGTTGGCACTATCCTTTAGAAAATACTACTAAAAAGTTCCTCAAATTTTTATATTTTTACCCCGACATTTACAACTTTCAACATCCATGAGCACACATAGGATATTAACTTAAATCTTCACAAATGGCTCCTTCCCGCCCTAGACAGATGATCTCAAGAGAATCCCTTGAATACACATTATGTTTACCATAGAAGCTGCCCCAATTTCCCAGTAAATAATACTGAATTGGCCATGTAATATTCATCCAACCAGCAGTTGATACCAAATGCTCATTACTAGACACCTAGACACTCATTACCAACTCCCCTTCTAGACAGAATGCCACATATGACCGAGATTCCTCAGTGGTGCTACACTTGGAAATCCGTGCTGAAGTATTTGATGGCCTATTCCATTTTTTTTCAGCAGTCGAATCTACAATAATTTTCTTTTCATATTCTTTGCCATCAACAGCAAAAAATTAACATGAGAGGCATAAGATAAGAAGTTATAAAGCTAAGATAATTAAAATTATATTAGTCATTATATCTGGTGTAATCTTATATATATACAGTAAGATAAAACTATACTGTGTAAGCTAGGTCAGTTGTAACAAAATCCATTCCAAAATGAGGTACTAAGCATATTTAGGTCAAAATAAAAATAACGGATTGATTCTCAGCCACTAGTGATGCACAGTACCTGTAGTGTACAGGGAAGGCCTTGTTATGGACCCGAGTCCAACGTCCGAGCCCGGAGCAGTGACGACCACGCCATCTGTGGGTCAGCTCCCGAAACCCCCTCCAAATGGTCGACGCCACCTAGTGAGGACGAGGTATACTGGCCACAAGGGCTAGTTTCCAGTCCTAATCAGCTTGTGACGTAGCCGCTGCTGACCTCTGGTGAGGTGATGCTTAGACAGCAACGCCATCTATGGAGTGGATAGGTGGGCGTTTGTGTCTAAGCCTGTAAGTGAGGTGCCCTAGAGTGTCCCTATTACTGATGACGTGTCTGATTACAGAGTCGACCTGGGACTGCTGTAATGCCAGTTGGATCAGTCTACCCAAGGCAGCCGTCTTGTCTCCAAGTATTTGCTGCAGCAGCTGTGAGTCACCCCCCGGATGAACACTGTGGTGTTAGCCTGCCTGTGACGTGGCAGTTGAGGGATTGTCGTACCCGGGGCTGACTGGTGGAGACGCTTAACCACTGGGGCGTTGTGGTGAGGAGAGTGATCTGTGGGATCACACGAGGCTCCTGCCTAGGGCTCGCAACCCTAGTATCGGTCGTGGAGTGGCCTACGTAGCGTTGCTGATTGGAACCTGCCAGCTACAGGCTTGATTTGTGGTTGACGGCCTCCACGACGGTGCCCTCAGTGGAACTGTGATTTGGCTGGCCTGTGGCCAGGGTAGACTCAAGAGAATCAAAGGATTTATCGTGAGGCCACAAGAGGACGAAGAGCTTAGCATCTTTGAGCACCGTGGAACACTCCGCGTCTTCAGAGGAAGATCACATTGTATATTCTAGTGTTTATACCTGCCCCGTGTGATCATTTATATATTATTTATGGTGACTGTGATAATTATATGTTTAAGTTTTTGCCTTTGTCTCCCTTCCCCTTTAATTTACTTGCGTTACGGATCACATCCCTTGAAAGCCACTACTAGCTTGGGGCCGGATACCCTACCTCTAACAACATCAGAGAAAGAACCCGGTTGCGACCCAAGAGGGCCGTAACAGGCCTGTAGTGAGCTATTGCACCATCAACTAGAGATAGAAAAAAAGTCTATAAACATGGGAGCACAGGAGTCTGTGTTATGTATAAAAAATATACAGTATACTGTACAGACGAAGTGGAAAAATGCTCAAGGAGTTTAGAAAGAAAGCAGTTGGCCCAGATGGGGTTTCACCATGGGTTCTGAGAGAATGTGCACCCGAGCTCAGCATTCCACTTCAACTGATTTTTCAGGCATCCCTGTGTACAGGACTCCTAGCAGATGTGTGGAAAAAGGCTAACATAGTTCCAATCTACAAAAGTGAGAGCAGGGAAGATCCCCCCTCATTTCTAGACCTGTATCACTGACAAGTAGAATAGTAAAAATATTGGAAAAATAATGAAAATTAAATGGGTAGAACACCTGGAGAAAAACAATATAAAAATAGGCAGACAGTATGGTTTTCGATCTGGAAGACCCTGTGTAACAAATTTTCGCAGTTTCTATGATCAAGCCACTGGGGTATTACAAGAAAAAGATGGTTGGGTTGACTGCATCTATCTGGACCTAACAAAGGCATTCAGCAGAGTTCCACATAAGAGGTTTTTCTGGAAACTGGAACATACTGGAGTGACAGGTAGGCTTCTAACATGGCTGAAAATTTTTCTGACAGAAAAATGAGGGGTAGTAATCAGAGCCAATGTATCGGACTGGAGAAATGTCACAAGTGGAATTCCTTAGGGTTCTGTTCATGCACCAGTAATGTTCATTGTCTACATAAATGATCTACCAGATGGAATGCAGAATTATATGAACATGTTTGTTGATGATGCTCAGATTATAGGGAAGATAAGAAACTTAGATGATTATCATGTCCTTCAAGAAGACCTGGACAAAATAAGTACTGTACTGTGTACTGTGTATGGAGCATCACCTGGCAAATGAAACTTACTGTGAATAACTGCCATGTTATGGAATGTGGAATAGGTGAACACAGATCCCCTCACAACCTATAAATTATGTGAGAAATCTTTAAAGAATTCTGATAAAGAAAGAGATCTAAGGAGCTATCTTATCTTACCATGACATGAGATGATTTCGGGGCTTAGCATCCCGGTGGCCTGGTCGTTGACCAGGCCTCCTTGGTTCTAGATAGAAAACTATCACCCGAGGACCACATAAAGAACATTGTGCGAAGGCCTATGCTACACTTTCTAACTTCAGAATTACTTTTAAATTCATGGATAGCGAAATACTAAAGAAATTGTTCACGACATTTGTTAGAACAAGGCAGCGGTTGTATGGTACCCATATCTTATGAAGCACATCAACAAACTGGAAAAGGTGCAAAGACATGCAACTAAATGGCTCCCATTACTGAAGGACAAGAGCTACGAGAAGAGGTTAGAGGCATTAAATATGGAAAACTAGAAGATAGAAGAAAAAGAGAAGATATGATCACTACAGTACAGTACGTACAAAATAGTAACGGGAATCAATAAAATTGATAGGGAAAAATTCCGAGACCTGGAACTTCAAGAACAAGAGGTCATAGATTTAAACTAACTAAACAAAGCTGGTGAAGAAATATAAGAAAATTAACTATCGCAAACAGAGTGGTAGATGGTTGGAGCAAGTTGGGGGAGAAGGTGGTGGAGGAGAAAACTGTCAGTAATTTTAAAGCATTATATGACAGAACGCTGGGAAGATGGGACACCACGAGCGTAGCTCTCATCCTGTAACTACACTTAGGTACAGGGTAATTACATGTACAGTATATTAATATATTACAACTGTGAAGTCAATAGTATGTTCCTTGTTTTGAATTAAGCTAACAAAATATAAAAACCAAATATCTTAGGAAAAATTTGAATATATTTTTCCATGGGATAGTGACCAAGTAGCTTGTGATCAATGTCCCAAAATTCTCTATTCACACAACACATTTACCTGTATCTTCTCTTAACAAATGCTCTTAGTTATTTTACTATTATTAGATAAAAATTAGTATGGTATAGGAGAGATAAACTTAACCTAAGTTTTACTTCATCAGCCGGCTCAGTTTCAAAATACACGCATGGTTAAACATTAGCACATGCAGAAAGGCGCGGTTATTTAATTCACTATTGACAAAATCTAACCATGCAAAACTGGCTCCACCCGCACTGTCATCTTAAAAGTGCATAGAATTTCAATTTAAAATATCACACGAGTAAATATACATACAGTACAGACAATGTTAATGAAATTACTAGAAATGTTTTACATAAAAATACAGAATTACATTAATTTAGTTATACAAATTTTAATAAACTGAATCTGTAAAATCCTTTCTATATTTTCAAATTAAATAAATTAAGCCAGATGAAAAATACTAAATATTATTCATAGACCAGAGTAACAAAATATAATTTAATTGCTGTGCTATCTCTCAGGAGACTGCACATGTATATTAAGACCAAAATTATTCAATATACATCTTGCCATTACAGTACTGTACTTTATTTTCTACCTCCACAAACTTAAAACTTCTCTGAATGTGATTCAGAGGTCACCAAAGTTCTTAAGTGACCGAGGAAGACATTCTAAAACTTTTCATAGATAAGCACAGTAATATGGGGTCTGTAACCTTGCTTATCTCTGTGCAACATTAATGCATGCAAATTTGTTGAAAATCACATGATGCAGGAATCCTTGTAATGCATTAACCTGTCCTGTAGGTAATTTGTCACTTGCTAATCTCAATTAGTCTACCATCAGTTATATCTTATTATAGTACCTTGTACTTTCTTTTTGGAGGACAGTAGATGATCTCGTTCGAGTCGATCCTTTGAATAAGTAAGGCATCATCATCCCCATCAAACTCCATAAATCTGTCGCTCGCCAAGTCGCGATCCATAGCTTCCTCACACCTCAAACATCACTGTAGTGAGCGCTGGAAGAGTCCAGGTTGCACAAGTTGCGGTGGAAGGGATCCAGGTTGCACGAGTACCATTGGTGTCACCACCGCCACAACAACAACAGGCACCCCTGAGTACTCATCTTCGAAATGTAAACAAGTGACGGTCGCCATCATAGAAAATGGGTCGGCCAGACAACAGCTGTTCAAGCCTAACTTGGAATACAGTCACCTACGATGCCGAACTAGAGATATTTTCAGCGTTCTCTATATATCTGTCCTAAACAGAACTGAAAATAATTTAAGGCGGTGTGATATAATTGGACTGCAATGCATTTTTTACAGTATGAGTTATCAGTAGACTTTTATAACATTCAGAATTTTTCAAAAACTGTACATAAGACAACACAAGTAAAACCTATTTGAATTGTAAATAAAATCCTTTCTATATTTTCAAATTAAATAAAATAACTAGGTTACATATTGCAAATTGTTATATAAGATGATTCAGAATATCCAAGTTTATCTTTACGCCCAACATCAAGCAGATAAATGCATGAACTATAAGCCTAGCTCATTTTAGCATGGGCGAAACACGCACAAGGAAAATTTACCTGATTTACCTGAAAGCCACTTACACTAGTGGCCTCGACGAGGACAGGAGGCCGATGGCTTGTCGAAAGTCCCCCCGCCCCTCATTTGCCTTGATGATCTTTTCCAGTTGTACTTTAAAAGTTACCAGAGTTTTGGCATTTGCGGGTTCGGCGGGTAGGCTGTTCTATAGTTTTATAACCCTGTGGGTGAAAAGGCATCCTGTGTTATCAGTCCTTCATTGTGGCTTGTTGAACTTGAAACCGTTGCTGGAAGAGAAAACTTGCCGCTCTAGGGTCTCTGGTAGTGTCAATGAGCCTGGAACCAAGATCCTTAAGAAACCTTCTTGCACTCTCTCCCCATGGACCTAGGGTTTCAGACCTCATTGGAAAGAAGTTGTACCGGTGATCTGTTTCCCTGTACTTGGTTGACTTGTCTCTTTCTCTGTGTGTCGCTGTGGCTCCTCCTTGGCCGACAGAGAGGTCAATGTATGTAATTGCGAGGGTGGATACGCAAGTGTAGTATCACGCCAACTGTCTGCAACCCTTCCAAGGGCGTAGTGTGATTCTATCTTGTTGGCCGGCAAAGATAGCAGAGTTTGCCTCTGGTCCTGCCGCAAATATACCTATATACAGTGTGGATAGGGGCAGCATGGCGGAGAGCGACTGTAATACGGAGCTCCTGCGGATCAAGACATGTGCTTGTCGCAGACATAGGGACTACCAAAAGGAAGTCCCAAACTTTCGGAGCCTGCACAGCTGTGAGGCATGCACGATCACTGGGGGTTGTTGCTGCCTCCAGCAAAACTGTGGTTTTTTTGCCTACAATGGGGCTTTGCCAGCTGGATTGTTTCTTGGCTTTCAACATGGTTGATCTGAGTGCTGGGTCTGTCATGGCACCCCATTTTGTGTCGCATTGCGAGTAGTGGGAGTCCTGTATCCCTGCTAAGTCACACAGGTTGTCAGGTATAATTTCCTTAACCAGGTCATCTGATGCTGAGGAGGAAGACAGGAAGGCTTCCTGTCTTCTTCCAAGCCGCCGAGCCTGACAGGAAGAGTGACTTGTTTCCACTGGCATTCAATGATGGAGAGATTGACAACTTTTCTAGCATGGTCTTCAGTAATAGGTCATACTCTTCAAGCTTTGGGTTGTCGTAAGATGGGGCACACCTCAGAAAGTAGGTTAGCCTCGGAAGGAATAGGCATTTAGTGAGGAGATAAAAAGCATCGCGGGCATCGATGTCACCTATCCTGTCTTCCATCCTCCTGAGGTCTGTGATTTTTTTTATCAAGGATCTCCTCAATGGCATTAGACCCGAGGGGGGCTCCAAGGAGAGTGCTGTTCACAGCCCTAATGACATGGGGCTCCGGGCAAGGCAGACCTTAGTCTAGCTATGATGTCTGGGTTGGAGGAGACTACTTCACACTTGGAAAGGTTCAGGAAGAGACCCAGGCATACTTCTTGCTCCTTTATTTTTCTGATGTCTTCCAAAATATGGTCTAGGGTGCCAGCTATGGTGCCATCATGCAAAAACCAGATGTTGAACTCGTTGGACGAGCTTTCAGTGATTTCTTTTAAAACTAAGCAGAAAAGAAAAGGAGCTAGAGGATCACCTTGCTGAACACCTACACATGATCTGATTTCATGTTCGCCAAAGAACAATAATGATTCACCACTGTAGCAAGATAGTATGAACGAGTAAAGAGGCCAGAAATGGTGATTTACGTACGGCACAGAGCACTGCATCTCTTCTGACCATGTTGAAGGCATTCTTAAAGTCCATTTGACCAGGGTCTTATATATATATATATATATATATATATATATATATATATATATATATATATATATATATATATATATATATATATATATATATATATATATCAACACCAGCATATATATATATATATATATATATATATATATATATATATATATATATATATATATATATATGTCGTACCTAGTAGCCAGAACGCACTTCTCAGCCTACTATGCAAGGCCCGATTTGCCTAATAAGCCAAGTTTTCATGAATGAATGTTTTTTCGACTACCTAACCTACCTAACCTAACCTAACTTTTTCGGCTACCTAACCTAACCTAATCTATAAAGATAGGTTAGGTTAGGTTAGGTTAGGTAGGGTTGGTTAGGTTCGGTCATATATCTACGTTAATTTTAACTTCAATAAAAAAAATTGATGTCATACATAATGAAATGAGTAGCTTTATCATTTCATAAGAAAAAAAATTGAGAAAATATATTAATTCAGGAAAACTTGGCTTATTAGGCAAATCGGGCCTTGCATAGTAGTAGTACGCGCAGCGTTTCGGGCAGGTTTGTTACTGAAATCAATGTTATAAAAAGCCCTCAACCTCTCTCTCGATGACCTACAGTGGTAACAAGCCTCTCTTCCCGTAAGACTTGGGGGCCTCGGAGTTCGAATAACAACGCAAATCGTTGTACCAGCCTTCCTGTCCTCCTCGGCACCCGACAACCTTGTGACGGAAATTCTACCTGCCTACTTAGATCAGCTGGCTGGCGTACACGATCCCAATTTCATACGCTGTGCCACCGAGTGGGCCTCTCGTTCAGGCCCATCACTTCAACCACCACTCCAAAAGCCCACAAGCAATCCAGCTGGGATGGCCAAATTGTAGACAAAGTTGCTGCAGAGCGCCTGGGTGCTGCAACAACACGACATTGCTCTCCTCACAGCAGTAGCAGCCCCAATGTCGGCAACTGGCACACTTACGGCCACCATGGCCTACTCTGCCAGAGCACTGGGGACTGGCACTCGAGGCACAGTGAAGTTAACGACATCATTAAGAGGAGCCTCACCACAGCTGGATGCCCAACTGAAAGAGTGCCCTCTTTCCTAACACCCCGTAACTCTACTGCTCTTATTAGTCGCCCTGATGGTATATTTCTGTACAACACAATAATCATCAATAGATACAGCGATAGCAGGCGGCTTGACATCTGCGAGGCACTACACATCAAAAAGTCAACACCAGCAATCAACAGCCAATTAATTTACCATTTACTTTGATGGTAATCTTGGGCATAGTTATTTTATCAAATCACCTCATTTTTGGAGGCCATATGAGCAACACAAATGCGAACAACACAAGTTGTTCGCATTTGTGTTGCTCACGTGGCCCCCCAAAGTGAGGAGATTTGATAAAATAACTATGCCCAAGATTACCATCAAAGTGCCGTCGGGATGATGGGCAAATAGCCTCGGCTACCATCATCTTTTGTACGGTCGTGATGGTCGAGTGGTTAAGGTCTCCTGTACACCAGTTGCATAGTGCTCCTGGCAGTATAAAAACTCCACACTTCTAGGGTGTGGAGTTTTCAGTTGCATATATGCCTGGGGACCATTCAGGCTTGTTCGCATATATATATATATATATATATATATATATATATATATATATATATATATATATATATATATATATATATATATATATATATATAATGCACCCTTGCTCGAGTGCATTTGGGTTATTTGATATTAGCGTGAGTCGTCACCAATTATATCTACCAATTATAATGTCCACCAAAAACTATATATTTTCTCAAATATTATTTAATTTATGTATATTATCATTTTATTTAAGTTAGGCCTAGCATAGATTAGGTGTTTTCGTTCAGTTGGCCACAATTTGTATTTACATCATGTACGTGAAGCATTTCTTATATTACGCACCTTGACCTGCCCTGATTGTACTATATTATTCACTTGTCCATCTATATCTCAAAACTACTTAAGATATAATTACCCAACTAAACTCAAATAAGAACAATAACAAACTTCAACACAGCATTCATCACCCTGGCTTAAATCCTTGAACATATGTTAAATGTGTTCAAGGCTTTAAGCTACTACATACACACTCTTAAGTGTACTCTATAAATTTATAAACTATAAAGTGCTATATTAATACCCGGGCTAATTAATTCTGCTCTCAAACGCATCTTACAGGATAACCACAGAACTCACTGACACCTCTCGAGAAAAAAATATATATTTTATATTCCAAGAGTACGACACAACCAAAGCAGAAATGCCATGGTGATATGGGTCCTAAATTGTGGAATGGCCTCCAAAGAACAATAAAATGCTGTAATTTCCTTAGTCATTGTATGAGAAACAAATAAATACATAATGAACATTAAATAGACATTATATATCTGCCTCACAAAGTCGTATAAATCACGATTCTTTACCATTCAAATTTTACTTTCGCTTCAGAAAACTGTATAGCATTTGCTATTTTTTTAAATAATTTATATATATATGTTAGCTTACATCAAATATAATATTACGTTTCACGCCAAATTTGTTAAAACTACACTCTATTATAACCTACCAGTTTATAAAATATACAAATACTGTACCTATATTAAGTAAAACACATTCTTTTTATACTAAGCAAACATTCTTAGATTCTTTATATGTATATTTTATATAAAATATTTGTATTATTATTGTTATTATGAGGGGGTTGTAGGCTTTACATATAGGCTTCAAATGCTTCGGTGTATTA